AAAATGCGCCATTTTGACTGTTCTGGTAATTTTAATATTAATATTAAAAATTTGTAATTAGAATAAATAAAAGTTATCATTTTGAGAGTATATTGTCCACATTTCGTTTCATGAAAATGGCAGCCTCGTACGACATAACCTCACATTTTAACACGGTAACGTACAACGTACATATTAGAATTATTTTCATACGAGTTCAAGCACAAAAACAGTACAATTTATACCCCGATTCCTTTATAAATTACGAATACTCGATCCTAATCACCACGTAATCCCAAAATGGCGAACTGCCGTTACATCGAAGCGAGCCAAAGAACAGTTGTATGGACGGATTTACACGGATATGGATCACGTCTCGGTTTAACCCTAAGGGGAGCCACTTTGTTTCGAGCTCAGTAATACAAGTAATAGATATTATGTACTGTGCAATTGTACCACATGTAATTGTACGCGGAAACTCGGTGAAATTCGCGTACGCGTGGCTTTTGTCTCGATTGTTGTTGCCCCCCGTCGGTGCTCTTAATAATAGCTCGATAGAAACATTGAATAATAAAACTGTGCAATAACAGCAACGTGATTGCTATGTTGGAACAACGTAACAACCTTTGTAACATATAGACATTATCCTCGTTGAGAAGTAATCGCAATGGTAACGTCATAAACATTAGGAAAGCGTTATGATAGGATAGAAATGATACCATAGCATACATAGTATGTTCATATAACTAAAAACGGAGAAAAATAAACGTGTAGAGAGTTGTCAATTAAACCCTCGAATAATGGAGCCAATTAATGACACGCGATGGAAAAATACTATACTGTAGAATAATAGCGTGGTAGCTTCATGATCCTTGATGGATAAGAGAACTTATGACCGAAAAGATTTTAACCCTTTGCACTCGACGATCTTTTTGTTACAGAATCATAATAATTCGAAGACTTTCTGTCGTAAAGTTGATGATATTTTCAAAACGGTAAATAAGAAGTGTAAAATTAATTGTAAGACGTAGAATTATTTTACCTCGATATTCCACGCGTCATTGGGAAATTTTAAATTCGAGATATTAATTAGAAACGATTTTTAGAATTTGATTAAATGGCGACTGAGAGTCGCCTCTCGAGTGCAAGGGGTTAAAAAAGAACCAATTTTGGCATCGCTTAGAAATGAAAAATTCCTTCGGGACCTGTAAGAGCATCGTCCAAGGAACAGAAAATTCCTTTATCACTTTGCCGAGAAACGATGGGAAAGTTGTCAAGAAAAAAGTCGAAGTATGTAAAAATGAGGCTGATTAAATATGATAATATTAGTGTCCTCGTAATGGTAATACAACCGAGCGAGGGTGATTCTACATGAAAAAACAAATCGAAAATAAAGAATAAAATTTTTTCATTCGAAGCTTCGTTGTCGAGAAAATCGACTTTGAACATTCACCAAGAGCGCTAATATACTAATGGTCCATCCGCTTTAACCAAAATTAACCGTTTGTGTCCCAAGCAGCGCGATCGCGCTGTTCAGATTTCATGTCGAGAAAACCCAGCACATTTCGAGCGTTCTCGACAACTGACGGTGCGTCACTGACTGTCCAAGTCGAAGCGCTATCGCACTACTTGGCCATTCATCGCCATAATATAAACGAAGCGCTATCGCGCCGCTTGGGATATATCGACATAAAATAGAAGAAACGCTATCGCGTTGCTTGGGTCTTGTCGTACCCACTAGAGGCAGCGCGGTCGCGCTGCTTGGGATTATTCAACAGTGTTTTTTCAAAACCCTCTGAGACTCAAACGGTTAAATTCGAGATATTAATTAACAACGGTCTTTAGAATCTGATTAAATGGCGACTGAGAGTCGGCTCTCGAGTGCAAAGGGTTAATAAAGGCTTCGATAGGCGTCCAAAAGATGATTATATGAAACAAAGTAATAAACCGTTTAATTTTAACGTGTTAGAATCATGTTTTAACCTTTTAAGTTCGGTACGCCACTATAATGGCTTCCGTGGAAAGCATCGTTATGAACAGTACGCTACTATAGTGGCTTTCGTGGATATCATGATTTTGAACGGTATTATATATTTTTTTATTTAATTATCATTTATTACGCCTAAACTACATTTCCCGTTGTATTGTAAAGCCGTTAAGACCAATAAAACGTTGCAAATTTGTGTAGCGTGCAGAGAAAAATGATATAACGCGAAGATCGCTGTTCCAATGTGAAGACTGTGATGGGGAACTCTGCATCATGCCTAGTTTTAAAATATATCACTCACAGATAAATTATTAATTATTATTATCATTTTGCGCTTTTTTTTGCAATGGCTAATCTATAAGTTGAAATTTAGCACATAATAATAACTAATTCCAAAATGTAACATATAATAATTAATTAATTAAGGAAAATAAGCAATATTTAGGTGATTCAGTTCCTTACTATGACTACTAGCGTTATCAAGAATCAACGAAACATTAAAACTAAAATTTTGTTGAATCATATAGCTTTCAACTTGCGGTATAAAGCAATTATAAAACCAATCCTTAACATGTTAAAATAAAATTCATCTTTTCTTGATCCCTAGTTAAATGAATTTCGAAAATTATAATTAAATTCGATATTAAATATCGAAATAAAAAACCAAAAAATTGATCAATAAATATGGAGGAAAATATAACGGTACTTTCATGTAACAGTATGACGCCATTTTGGTATTTCTGTATCTCAAGTTTTACAACTAAGACTTCTATAACGCGAGTATAACGAAACCGTGTTATAAGAAAATCAGAATTAATTGAAATCAGGAAATGCGTTCTATGTAAACCGTATTACGAAATTTCATTTTCTAATTCTTGAATCCTTTGTACGACCATTTTTAAAACACAATATATTCGATAAATTATAATGCATTAAGGGTTGCTTTGCATTTTCTAAATTTCTAACCTATATTTGTTCACAATATATTTCTGTTTTAATTCTAAGCTCAAGTCCCCCTTACATAATTGACACAGTCAAGTTTTCTATAAAACGATTAATTCCTACCGCGTTATATGGAAACTGTGTTATAAGAAAATCGGAATTAATTGAAATCAAGAAATGCGTTCTATGTAAACCGCGTTATTATGAACATAGCAATAAGACAAGTCGGATTAATTTATACCGCGGAAATCACTGCCGCGTTATATAGGAACTGCGTTATAAGAAACTCAGAAATAATACGACTTGAACGAATTCGTACTGCGTTATATGGAATCTCGGAAATAAATAAATTGTACATAAATCAGACCTATATGAAAACTACATTCTCAAAGTATCAAGTTGCGATTAATACGGTTAATAAATAAAATTTTATAATAGGGATGGCAATGAATATGTAAATTTTTACATATTTGAATTTAGGTTTATCGAATATAATACACAGTTCGTATAATAAAATTATAACCTAAAAAAATTGTCTCCAATAAAGAAACTTAACACTTTACCGACCGGAGGCCTATTAATACGAATTACCGACCGATAGCCTATTAATCGGCTTTGGGGTACGTTGCACAGTTACGTTACTGCGTTGGTAGTAAGCTCCCACATTGTTGCGGCCCGAAATTGTGTTATTAGGTTAGTCAAAAAGTATATTAAGATATTATTGATATACGATAGTAGCCATTTCCTTCAAAATAAAAAAAAGTTTTATCAAATTTTGATTTATAAGTTTCCATCATCGTAAAGGTAGTTATATGATTTTAATTTTTATATTCTAGTTATTAATGATTCTAATTATCATATTCAATACGTTTTAAAGAAACTGATTTGATCTGAGGAACAAGAGAGCACCATCTACCGTAAAAATCCGGTACCACCTACTGGTCAACCTAGTACACGAGACCTTAGATTCGTGTAAGAACGTTAATTATGTCACGTGTGATATTCGATATTCTATGTACATATATAAGCAAAAAGGTTCAAGTGACACTTTTTGCAAATGCAATTTTATTACAGAAATAGATTTATCCAAGGTTGCTGTAGATATTAAAATGATTTAATTACAGATAACCTTCGTATAATCTGAATATTAGGTTATAAAAATTACCTCATGTAAAGTTCAGATTACGTGCAAACAGAAAGTAAGGTTATGTTCCAAAACTGATTTGAAAGATTGTATTCGCTGTAATTTTGCTTTGTAAATATCTTTGCGAGTACTGGAGCTATAGGTTAGGTTACGTGCGAATCCTTTTTACGTGTAATACTTAAGTAATACCTGTAATAATTAAGTGTATTACGTGTAATAATAAAAGTTACCAAATTTTGGCCCAAAAATTAATAACATAAATATTATTATATATGTAATTATATATATTTATATACATTTCTTATTATATAATGACATAAATAATAATATCTATATATTATTTCTTTTTGAACAAAACCCATGGTATCAAATTTTTCTTCGAAGCATTATACGTGAAAAGGATTCATACATAACCTAACCTATATCGTCAGTAGATGCAAAGATATTTGCAAAACAAAATGACATACAATCCATTTATACATTAAAATTTTTTTAAAATTTTCTTTGTTTTGTGAGAAAATTGTTATATAAACTAAAATTATATAATAACGTATATTATTTATAATTTATACATTTGTCTCATAATAAAATTATATATTCATTATCACATTTTTTATATACAATACATTATATACAAACATGAAATTATATATATATATATAAATGTCAGTGTACATCATTAATACTCATACTAGATAAAAATTCACTTTAATTACTTAAAGAATCCATCTTTTAATAAAATATTAGACATAAATTCTGTCATAAATTTTTTAGTTGACCAATTCAACGAAACTTGTATTCGAGAATTGAAACCATAGGGTTTCCAAGTTTCTAAGGAATCTATATTTAAAACATGGCGTCATTCCATTGTTCCATATAAAAATTCCCATCGCAGACACAACAATTTCTGTGGTTTGACAAGAAACATTGATTATGATCGTAGGAGAAGGATGTGTGGAGAAACCGGTGTCGACGTTATGGCGCAATTACGTTATCAGCAGCAGGCCGGACGTGTCGATGAGGCTGACGGTCACGAACGGCGGTTTGACCGCGACGACGAAAGATCACGGTCTGACAGAGTACTGGGCGCACAGGGTGACCTATTGCACGGCACCTGCTTCCCACCCGCGCCTCTTCGTCTGGGTCTACCGGCACGAAGGACGTAGGTTGAGGCCAGAGCTCAGGTGCCACGCCGCCCTCTGTAGCAAAGAGTCCACCGCCAGGAGGCTTGCCTCGACCTTGAACGCTAGGCTACAACAGGCGCTCCTGGAATTCCGACGGGACAAGGTCTCCAGACAAAATGCTAGGTAAGTGAATCAATCCTGTGTTGTCTATTTATGCAGGAACAATCGATATAGTTAGTGTTGTATTTATAATTAGTGTAGTACATCTGAGTGGCCACTGTTTGGGACTATTTCTGGTCAGTTATCCGGAAAGGAATTCAAAAAATTGGTGTCATTTATTACTTATGAGTAACTCGAATAGGCCTCTAATTTAAATTAAGTTTTAAATTCTCTTAAGTTTTTATTTATTTATACGGTAGCAGTTGATGGTATAGTTGATATATTGTAGTTAGTATAGTACTTACAATTAGTGTAGTACACTTAAGTGGTCACTGTTTTGGACTATTTCTAAATTGGTCTCATTATTTACTAGTTATGTGTAATTTAAATGGACCTTTAATTTACATTAGGTCCAAAGTTCTCTTAAGTCTGTATTTATTTATATAGTAAAAGTTGGTTTAGGTGAAGTATAATTGATGTAGTTAGTATAGTACTTACAATTAATGTAGTACATTTGAGTGGTCACTGTTTGGGACTATTTGGAACTATTTATATAAATTGTAGATTTTGACTGCTATGTTGATTAATTACCTTTTTTTCAATTTGAATGTTACTATAAATTCTTGAATTATTATTATAAAAATTGTTGTACTCCTCTTTTGTAAAATCCTGTATAGGGAGCAAATTGTGTAGTTTGACACCTTAAAATGGAAGTTGCGGATATAAACAAAATATTTGCTTTGTAATTTGTAATTTGTCATAGTTTCATTTTATTTCACATTTTTATGTAGTGTATAGTATATTGATTATATACAATTATATATATATGAAATTTTTTGTAATTTGTTTTTATAGAAATAAATTATTTTTAAAGAATTGACATACGTAATTAGTATAGAATAGTCCGCTTAAATGGCCACTCTTTGGGACCCCGTGTGGCCATTTATGTGGAGAGAAGGTTTTCAAAAAATTGGTCTCTGTTATCTTCCTGTAGTACCCTCTGGTGTGAATATGCCGACGATGAAAAAGGAAAACAGAGAGAGGTAGTGAGATATAACAAAATGTGGTATTTTGATAGTACTGAAGCAACTTTCTCTCTTACTATATTTACATTAGGAAGAGATCTGAAATACTTCTATTATTTATAATTGTATTGAAAAATGGAAGGGTGAATAATGCGATATAAATGTTTTAGCGTGAGTACAAGCATAAGGGGGATTTAAAGATAATATCTATTTCTTTTTTAATCTAATACTATAACTCTGAAATAATCTCTATGTAATAATCTCTGCTCTGGCAATTTTTAACGCTACCTATGTCATTGCACAATTTATTTATGTTATTATATATAACGGAAATATAGTAAATACCATGTGCTAACTTTATAAAATAAAAAAACAAATTAGAATACAAAATGATTCACTTTGCTGATAATTGATGTTGACACCAGTATCATATTTCGATATATGTAATTGTAGTAGGAAATAGTTTAGGTGGATAAAGTTTTTTGACTCACCCTGTATATCGACACATAAAATATACTTAAAATTAGTCCAAATATAGTCATGTTTGGTATCATTTTTATCGTAGGATTCTGGACAGTGCATCTAAAACAATCTCATAACGGGTTAGGTTAGGTTTGTTTATGTCATCAATAACATCAGTTAATGCTGCTATAGATAGAACCACACTTAATATTAGCAATGTTCTGATAGTTGGAAGTGAATTTGAAACATCCTATAGTTTGTGGTTAACCTCTAACACTATGATTTAATAATTATAAAATATGTTATATTATTAGTTATAAAAAATTGGGTATTTAAAAAGCGTTTAATTTTAATTAGCCACTATATAGTTATTTTATTCACAATAAAATTATAAAACGTTTCAGAATTTATATGAATTGTTGAAATTTGTTAACCCTCAAAATTTGACTATCGATAACGAATTTTATGTATACTTACACATGGAAGTATTCGAAGTTTATATATGTTGCTTTGAAAAAATTACATACGTGTTAAATTGAAATATTTGAGACAGTAATTATGTGTATATAGCAAATATAAACCTCTAAGTTTATGTTATTAGAATTAAAAAATAATTCAACTTACAATACATTTATTACCATCATGTAAATTTGGTGAAGTTGAGAACATTACATACGCAATGTATAATATTAATCGAAAATTATTAATTAAAGAATAAGAAGTTATTTACTTACGCCAGGCTTTAACTCACTAGCGCCACCACAGTCCGTATCTACAATAAATGTGCCGTGACTATCGTATATGTCGTTGAACTATTTTCCAATTTTATTCATATAATCTTGGGACTTATTCCGTATTTTGTGCATGAACAATAAATGTTTTAAACATTTTATTTTAACGTATATATTTCAATTATAGAACACAGATAATGTAAACGTTCGAATAGTTCCTTATATAACTATATATTTCCCTGTTCTACCATTTTTGCTAATAAACCTGTATATTACTATAGTACTGCAGAAATAAAACTAAAAAATAAATCATATTTTCAGTCATATAATTAAACTAAGAAGCTAGGAAATTTATCTACATATTTTCATATATTAAAATTGTACACTATAATTAAAAATAAAATGAAGAGGCTTAAAAAAAATAAAATGAATAAGTCAATCACTATTTTCGAATATTTTATGTAAAGTCTAGTTTTAATTTTAAGATCATGCACTTTAGAAGATTAAGAAAATAGTCGCGTTATTATAGTGCAAGAGGTTAGGGAAGAAATTTTAATTAAAAATTTAAATTATGCGAGTAATAATATTTTTGAAATTCTACAAAAGATATTTTTATGTACAAGGTGTAGTGAAAGTATTGTACAAATATAATATGATATTCTTGTAACACTTATCAGTATAATTCATAAATCAATTGAAAGTTGTTGGAATTTTAAATATAATTATAACTGTTATACAGTTGGTCACGTAAGGGTTTGCAAACTTGGTTTCAGAGATATGGCCACTTTAACTGTTTAACTTCCTGCTTAAATTACCGCAGTTTATCATGAGCTGTTGTATGCGTGCCAAATCTCTGGACTACTTTCTGGTTGAATGCTATATTAGGGTATGACCATAAACCACTTATTACGATATTTGAACTGCTTCTGATAATTTGAGAATAAAGTATCTCAAACAGACGTATAAAAATTTTGAATAAAGAAATTGCCATAATTAAAACTTTACAAATATATTTTTGTTATCTCGAAATTCTTAGATTGTTTATGTATTATTATATTTTTCTGTTCTAATTCTGTTTTCTGATTTATAGAAAAATAAATTCTGATCATCTGATTTCAAAATAATTCAATTAATATTTAAAGTATGAAGTATAATTTGTGGATAAAGTATTTATTTCAAACAAAAATTTAATAATTTTGAATAAAGAAATTACCACAACTGAAACTTTACAGATATATATTTATTATCTCGAAATTCTTAGATTTTTTATATGAGCCGTTCACTGCACAAATCGATTAACCCCATTTTTTGAAAAATCTTAAATTTAAGTATCAAAGCACTTGGTATAGTCGTAACTTTTTATATTTATAATAACTTTCCCTGATAATTAAGATTATCGCCATTAAACGACAAAAATTTTTTGGCCACCGAATAATAAATAATTTATTTCAGAGTTCACTCTGATTAACTCCGTACTCTAATGTAAATCGTTGCAATAATGCAACTCAAATGCACTAGCAAGCCACGAATGATAACGGTGAATTTTTTAGTTCCGTCTTATCAGAATTTAAGTAAAATTTAGTAAAATTTAAATTTATTACTTTTTTCACTTGCCAAATCGATTAGCTCTTCCAGTAACATAAAAATGGTAACATTACCAACGATTACCTTTTGGCTATTTTTCCTTATAAATTTTATATACCGTTAGATGAAAGTTACATTTGTATGTACGCATTCTACAATATTTATTTCGATTTAAATTATAAAGGGAATTTTAAAAAACAATATACATTATTTCATTGCATTTCTCCACTTTTTGTTTTATGGAGTTGATCAATTTGTGCAGTGAACGGCTCATATATTACTACATTTTTCTCTTTTAGTTTTCTCTGATCTATAGAAAAATAAATTCTGATTATCTGATTCCAAAATAATTCAGTTAATATTTAAATGTACCTGTGATTCATAAATTGATTCACGACTGGCTTTGAAAAATATTTACCCCCCCCCAAAAGAAACAATATTTTCTTTTATCATACTCCTTATCATAAAAATTGGGATAGGCATTTAAAATGTACAAATTAACTGAGACACCCTAAACGATTAACATTTATCCTTTTATTGAAGTAATTTTAAATTACGTTATTAATATCAATTTAAGGATAATTTTTCTTACAAATTGAAACTTGTTAGAAGACCATTTGTTTCAATGGTTATTGGATTGATGTATGCTGTTTTAATAAGTATCACGTTATATATGTCTTCATATCACCGAACAAATTCATTAAATGTTAATCTGTCACTATTTTGTATGTCGAAAGACGTTAAAATTTGTTCAGAGTCAAATATTGTAGACTATGATATACGTAATGAGAGAGATTACCTCTTGCAAGCTTGCTAATGTGCCATTTTAACCTGGTTAGCCTTTTCAGCGTCAAAGAGCTCGTTACATTTCTTTTATCTACTATGCATGTATCATAAATGAGACTTGTCCCATGAAACGTAATAGGAAAATGAACGTAGGAGCATTGAATGTGAAAGCATTAAATATAACCTGATAACATGTCTTTGAATGTTGTTAACTTTGTAAGCTAATGCTTCATATGCGAAACGATATAGTAAATTATGAATATTAAGAAATTTTGAAATTAAATTATAGCTTTATTTTTGTAATATATGGGCTTCTAAAAAATTTTTGAATAGAAAATTATGATTTTTTAAAATTAATAACAACTAGTTGAAATTATAGAGGGGTAATTGAACGTTAATTGAACACCAATTTCTATTATAAATAAGGATGCAATAG